TTAAAATATGGACTATAAGCTAAGATTTTATGCTATTCTAATTGGTATAACATAAACAAAAAGTAGTTTAATGAAATTTAGAATGTAAGACACTAAAACCTTGTGTCATGCGCAGTAAAGGGTACCCGTGCTGATAGGGTTAAAGCAGTCAAGGTCATTGGTTCAAACTGAACCAATGCTGTCTTGTTTGTGAGGCATGTAATGGGATATCCTATACCTGTGTCATCACAGGGTACATCCTCGACTCACTAGCTTAATTTACACTTTGAGACCTTTATCATTTGCCGTGGTGGCTGCATCTTGAGGTTAAGCTACAGCTCACTTCTTTGTTTCACTTGTTTAACCCTATCTTGACGTGTCTTCCTTTGGTCAGGGATCAAAGAGCACGTCATCAAGTTTGTAGACGTACATTCAAAGTTTTATTTTACGAATGTATGTCAATAAGTTTGGTATCAAATTGTAGATTATAATTCAAATTTTAGTATTAAACATTAGTTAATTTCTTAATTTAAAAGTAAATATTAAATTAAAATCCCTAAATATCGATTTTTGTGTTTCTTTTGGTATGTTGAATACAGTTTTGGTTAAAATTAGATATTTGTGTCTATAGATTCTTACGAATAAAAAACTCAAACTACCGATATTGACAAGCTAGAATATAAAATAAGAACCTCCTATCGTTCAATTTGCTGTGATATCATTATAATTAACGAATCAAACAAAGTGGGCTCACCCATTTCTTTAATTTTTGGAAATACTCCCTTATGTACATCAGCTTTGCTCTCTCGTGTCTTTGTAACCAATCAAAAGCTCAGAATTCCTACCCACGTGGTTTTCTCAGGCTTTTGGAGTTGGAAAGTTTCCAAGATTATTTCTTTTGTGCTTTAACCTAGAGGGAAGGGGTAAGTGAAAATGTTGTTTGAAATATCATGTTTTTTTTTAGATCCATATGCAGCTATGTTACTAAACCTGATAAATTATAATGGACTTCTGTGGTACTAATATTTAGTAATTTATGAATTTTTGTTATTTCAAAATGCATATGTAAAACGTAAAAAAATTATTTTGTTTTACATCCTCCACATGCGAATTTTGATAAGGCAAATTATGGCAAGCAGCAAATGAGTACAAAGTTAATAAGAAGAAGACATCATTGTTTTCTATACTTCTTTATTTACTTTTCTATGTTTTAAGAAAAATAACTGAAATTTAAGAACCTGTTTGTAAATAGTAATAATAAATCTACACATATAATGTATTATAACCAAAATTTGATTGTAGGTTACAAAATATTGGTTCACTAGAGCAAAGTCAACACAGGCCACTTTTATAATATTGGATATGGTAACACGAGTGCACGTATACAGCGTCATTGCAACCTCTGTAATGTTAGTCAAACATGGCTGAAAGGTTATTAAAATAAACATATATAGAGATGTATAATTTTATGAGATTTAAGTTATTTAGACTAAACATTTGTGGTTTCTTATTATAATTTGTAGTCACTTTAGAACAAAAAAGTGTAATTTATATCTATTTCCTGATTTTTATGGTCGTTATGAGGTCAGTCAAATCGACAAACCCTTACAGAGATACAATAGTGAAAATAACGGGTAAATTATAAAGTTTTTTCTAAACAAAAATGTTTGATAATTATCTGTATTATAAAGATTTTGCATGTGAAATTTGACAATTTTCTGATGCATAAAAGTAATTTTAATCATAAAATTAAAATTACTTTGCATGCTGGATAGTCAATATTCAAAAAGAAAATATTAATGAGCAAATCATTTACATTATAAAACTTGATAACAAAGAAAAGCTTTGAAATGGTTACTGATAATCTTCCAAAATGTGTGAAGAAACACATACTGTATTAAAAGTTATAGTATGAAAACTATATCAAGCACAAAATGGTTATGAGGTCAGTCTGTGGGACTGAACCCATAGTGAGGGAGTTAAATGGTTAAATACAATGTTTCTTCCCCATTAGTAACAGCTGCTTCTCCTTTCTTACCATCCTTGTCTTTCAAAGTTGGTATTGTAGTTCAAGGTTATAGTATATATATATTATTGTGCTTGAAATTAACATTTCATAACTAAAAGATAAAAGAGATACATATCTGTATTGTAACTAATCCTTCTCTTCTTCCCATAATGATGGGTTGAGAAAATGTACCAATATATGGTAAGGGAATATCAATGTAAAGGTCAGGTAGAATTAATACACATGATAAATGATGATTAAATTATACATTTGATGATATAGGACCATAATACTGTGATGATGGTGGGTTATTTTTCTTAGAGCAGTGGTTCTAAATCTGTGGTCCATGGAAAGGTTGCATATTTATGTAAATGAAGCAGTAGAGTTGTATATAACATTTCATTATGCAGGTGTTGTTGTTTTAATAATTAATGTTGATCTTATTTTATAGGATGGAAAGATACTACTCTGGGACCAGAGACTTCCGAAACCTGCAACAGAATTAAGTAAGTTAAGTTTTTCATCTTTTGGAATGCTAAATGGAACTGTATACAAGTTATAATTTCGTCAGTTAATTAAAGAACAACCTATATCTCAAAAATGAAAATTGTTTTACTTGTCAGTATTTTACAATTTGAGTTTTTCAGGAGTCTTTTGTCCATCAGGTATGCTACAGAAAATTAATGTAAAAACGAAATGTAGTTATGAAGTAAGCATGGGTTTTCCAACAATATGGAACATTCTGTTAAAAAAAACAGTAGGAAACTAAAATTATAGGCCTGGCATGGCCAGGTAGTTAGGGCACTTGACTCGCAATATGAGGGTCGTGGGATCGAATCCCCGTCACACCAAACATGCTCGCCGTTTCAACCGTAGGGGCATTATAATGTGATGGTCAATCCCACTATTTGTTGGTAAAAGAGTAGCCCAAGAGTTGGCGGTGGGTGGTCATGACTAGCTGCCTTCCCTCTAGTCTTACGCTGCTAAATTAGGGGTGGCTAGCGCAGATAGCCATCATGTAGCTTTGCGTGAAATTCAAAACAAACAAACAAACTAAAATTATATTGAAATAAATAAGTCATGATGATTGAGTATATTTTTTAGATTCATATTAGAAAAGCCAATTTTTTGAGAGAGATTATCTCAAGAAAAATTTGGACAAAATTAATGCAATCATGAAATAAATATATTTACTCATAGACTAATAACACAGATTTCATTAACAATGCAAAACAATTAAAATTTTTGAAGCCCTGTAATTACAATATCACTTGTGGCAAATGCTCTGATATTTTATCTGTAGACACATGCCAAAATAGCAGAACTTGTGTGAGATATTCAAAACCTTAACCTAACCAATACCACAACAAAATATTACATTGAAATACATAGCTTATTAGATATGGAGAACCCGTAATCAGATGTATGAATCTTAGCTACACACAGCACAATTTTATGGAGTGTACAATTAGTTACACAACTTCAGTCCAGGAAAAATAGTGAGTAATGTAAAAAAAAATTAAATGAATTTAGTTTTATTTATATTTTTTCATTATTAACATCTTTGCTTTTTTGTGTTTTTTTTTATGTTTGTGATAGCATTAACAATATTCCAAGTTATTTGTTCAGAAATTCTGTTACATATAGTATTTGCTGCATAAAGCAAATATATCATTGAAATGCTGAAAGTCTCCATGTGTATGTTTTTGAGTTATAACCGTATGGTGCTTTGTGCTCTGCATTTCTGAGCTGGCTGAATAATGTCTTGTTTTAGTTCTATGACAAACAATGTTTCAAAAATTCAGTCTGGTGAGACTAACTAATTTGTTAATTTTAGCTTTCAAAAATCTTTCCTAATAAATGTATTTTAACTTTTTCTATTAGTACTTGACTATTCTCACAGTTTTTGATAATAAGAATTATTTTTTGAGAGCACTGATACTTTTTTGCTTTGTTAGCTTCAACCTTGTGAATTCAATTTTACTGATTTTTTAAACTTCAGTTCCTATAATAACAGTGTAATTAGAAAAAAATGTTTGTTTATTGATCAGTTGTTCTAGCACTTACTGTGTACCATTGACAAAGTTTCTTGAACAAACTTTACAGAATGTTTTTCAAGAAACTATTTGCACCAAAAAAAAAAGAAACTAAAGTGTCATTTAATGCTTTTAAGTAATTATTTATTATAAATATTGTACTACCACACACCAAAGATTTTGTTTAGTTCAACTATCCCTCTAGAGTTAAATATTATACTGTTGTTCATAATATACTCTATAAAAACTTTTGGATTAATTAGTGCTGGCAATATGTTTCATTATAAAATGTCAAATTTAACCTCTGTTTTTTTTATTAATTAGTATCATTTCCTTCTAGAAGACCAGTGTTTAATGGGTGTGAAATCTGAGTATGTGTTTTGATAAATCTCAAATCCTATTTTTCATTGTAAATTTTATTGATTAGTACTAAACCTGGAGATTTTCAGATAGTTTAGTTTAGAAACTTATTAAAACTTACACAACGGGATTTTGCTTAAAATGTAGAATATAAAATGGTTCCTTTTTTTGTAGACCGTTTTTCATGTATTTAGTTCAACTTTCCATTATAGAAATAAATAATTCATTTGACTAGCATGTATGTGTTTTTGTATATAGTAGTTTCATTTTTAAGGAGTGTTTAGACAATATATTTGATGTGTTGATAGTGTTTGTTTGAAAATTTCCTGTCTCTTTGTTTGAAATAAGATTCAACAGAAAGACCAAAATGTTTTGAAAACTTAATGAAAAAGCATGAAAAGTCCTTTTAGAAGCACTATTAGTGATTTTGACTATGAATTGGGATGTTTTCAAATAGAATAATAACAGCACTGAATGTGAAGGCAACTTTGCTTGATTTTATTTTCTGAAAAATATAAAAGTTAGTGATCACAACTGAACTAACTACACTGTCTGTTCTTTCATAAAGCTGTATGAATTTATAATAATATAGTTTTGTACTTTCACTTAATTCTTTGAATGTTAGAGTAACAGTTCTGTAATGTCAAATCAGTGTTGCACTACTCTGACATTGAACAAGAGGGGACCTTCGGTAGCCACGACACTTGAAATTCTTTTAGGCAGGATTAGAGTAAATTATTCTATGAGATCTTTTTTCCTTTTCATTAGTTATATTTTTGTGTGTCAGCAATACCAAGCAAGGAGCGTACATATACCTGATTCGACTTTATTACTCATCAGGATCTCTAACAGTGTACCCCAAAATTGAAATTCTTTTAGGCAGGATTAGAGTAAATTAATCTAGGAGACCTTGGGCATGGTCAAATACATTTGATCTACTGAGTCCAAAACTGTAATCACATCTCAAATCGGTCGAGAGATGACGGAGCTATGAGCTAAAAGTCTGCACTTGAAAAACTCTAAGCCACTCTAACAGCTGCTATACCATGGCTAAAAAACAAGATAATATTTTTATACCTCGAAAACAATGTCAGTAGTTAAGAAGACCATTTTTCTCAATCATATTTATTGTCATTTAAATAGAAATGTTAAATTAAAAGAAAAACCTGAATTATTGTGCTTTAACATTTTAGAAGCAAAAGTTATTTTTTAACAGAGCCTAATAATCCTATAGTGCTTTTCTTAAAAAGAGCTGTTTGTATTTACTGGAGCTGCTGAAGTATTAGTGTAGCAAATGATAAACTTTTCTAAACAATCTCTAGTACAAAGATAATTGATTTGATCCTACCTCCGGCATAGCTTGACTTATGTAAATAATTCAGTGAACACACTACTTCTTTGGCTGTATTGTGTGGTTTGTTCTTTTTAAGCCTTCTGATTAGGCTTAGAGACTACAGTTTTTTAATTCAAACTAATGTTTGGACAAATTAATTATATTAGTTTGGAGAATGCTTTTATGAGTTGCGTATGGAATTTTCATTTCAATTATATGGTGTTGTGTAGTAACTTACACAATGAAAATTTTATTAGATTAATAGTCATGATTTAGTTCACAGCATCTTCAACAGTAATTAAAGAAATATTACTTGGCAGTCTTTTCTTATAAGTAATGGAAAATGCAGTAGATTTGTAGTAGTGCAAACTGTGAACATACAATATATGTGAGTGGGTTTGACAGGATCACACTGATTTCGCTAGTTAAGTGGTGAATAGTGAAAAATAATAGTCACAGACTATTAAATTATGAATTATGGTGTGTGTGTGTGGGGGGGGGTCCATAGCACTATAATAATTCAGACATATGAAGATGGCTCGATGGGAAAATTTAGATGGGGTGGTGGGAGGCACAGACTCTGTGTTATGCCTCTGGTTTAAAACTCATAATCTAGTACATTATAGTAAGGTAAAGTTTTTTGTAAAAAACTTCCTGATTGGAAGACTAGTGTTGATGTGACTCTTTGATTGTAATTATCTGGGAAAAAGTTTTACTATGTGAATGTTATGTTCTTGAAAAAGAACATAATAGTGTCAGAAGTTAACTGAGAATTATACTGTGTACACAGAAATTCCGTGTTTTTTACAATTACCACATTTGAAGTATATGACATATGAGATAAAGTTTATGTATTGTAATGTAATTTGCTGTTCTATAGGTATTACTGGCAATTTGGGAAAATAGTTAAATGTGAATAGAATATCTTAATATTTTATAAATAAAGCATAATACTGTTTCACTAGTTTGCTGTACAAAGGTTTTGGTATAATATCAATTAACTCTTTTTTTTCATGTTCGTCTGGAATTATTTTCATGAAGTCCTAATAATTATCACCATATCTTATAAAATTTATGGTCTATTTATAAAAGGTGGATAATAATATGGTCTGGATTAGTTTTCAGCCAAAGAGACATAAATGTTATTGGATGTTGTCAATATCCAATGGGTAAATCAAGATTTTTGATTGGATGCTAATAGCATCTGCTCAGGTTTAAGGAGTTAACAGATAAATATCTAGTGGTTCAGTGTTAAAGATGGAGCTAGCTAGTGTTAGAGAATCAGTTTTATGAAATTATAGCTATTATGAAGTATGTAGGTGCTTGAAATAAGCTGCTATTTATTGACATCAAATGTTGTTTTGGGACAGGTAAGGATACAACAATAATCCCAACATCAATAGCGTGGAAACCAGGAGAAATGACTCAGTTTGCAGTGGGGAACAACAATGGTCAGGTGTTGATGAAAGATATTAGAGGAGGTGTAGGACCACTTGTTGAAATCAACTGTCACACTAGACCCATTTTTAGACTTGTTTTTTCCCCAAATTGGTGAGATTACATTTGAGAAGAATACAGAGCCTCAAGTACAAATTAAAAGCTTTAGATAGAAAATAAAATACAATACAAAATAAAACATAGCAAAATTAACTTCTTAAGTCTGAGAAAGGTTATTAAAACAAACCTAGCAACATATTTACTTTATGTAAACACAACCTTTCACATCTTTTTATATGGTTTTGCACATCTTAGAAACAAATGTTCAAATTAATTTTTGTATACGGTATGTTATTTACATAATTTTTATATACATCCCCATACTTTTCTTTCTGAATTATAAGTCATCTTGATAATTATTTAAACTTACCATCCAAAATTGTTTATCTAAAAAAATTAATTAAATCCATTAAGTCTTATTAATATCCATTAATATATATTTATCATTCATATCTAGTGAAAAAATAATTAAACTAAACTATTATTGTTAATTGGTGAAATTGTTGCTTAGCTATTGCATTTCATTAGAAATATTTTAGAAATAGAAGTATTGACTATTAAATACTGTCTTTACCCATTTTTATGAACAAGGTTGTATACTTTACTTTTTTAGGTAAGGGGCAAATCATGAAATTTTTTACTGCATTTAATGTTTCTTCTTGCAGCCCTTCACTGTTGGCGTCTTGTGCTAACGAACCAGATGTTGTCGTTATGGACGTACAGAATGAAAACTCTCATATAATGTATGTGTTAATATTTTGTTTCTTTTTCAACGCATTACATTTCTTTACTTGGGAAATATATCCATGTGATTTTTTGATTCTTAGCGTAAGCTGTTTGTGTAAAAGTGACTTTTCTAAGCTTGTTTTTTTAGTTGAAATTAGGTTATTCAGTAATGTATCATTATTAGTTTGTAAATTTACTGTAAGAGTATCACTAGGTCTAAATTATATTATAGAGAATGATACAGTAAATTCTAGAAGGTAATTGTTATGGTTGTAGGGAGCATGGTGTACTAATTGGCTAATGAGCACGTGGATTAATTAGTTAGCAAATACCAATAATCACCCAGCTCTAATTACAATAATGTCTAGAAATTAAGATTATTCGAAGCTTTATATTTATCCTTTTACTACGTGTTAGATTTTCATGTGGATGTTTATTGGATTGACAAATGAAGGACTTCAAGATTTATTTGAGATATATCAGTAAATTATGCCAGCTTTTTTATTTTAAGTTCCTCAGTTCAACAGATAAATATAATAAAATTGCCCTTCTGGAGGCATTACAACAAATACTTATCAATTCAACTACGTTTAGTCTCATTTGACTGCACAAGAACTCTGTCCTTGACCTGAACAATATTCAAGTGTTCACACAGAACTTATAGTTCACTTATTTTTATTCTGAAACAAGAATGACAAAAACACTCTTGGTTCATAAAAACTATTTTTACATCTCAATAATGTTCTAAAATAAGAGTCTTACAAGCAAAAAAAAGAAATAGGTATGTGATATGGCCTTAACTTTTTCAACCACTACATTATTCCATCATGATATTAATATTCCTATTTTATGTTACATTGATTTGTTTTTTTGTTTTTTAAAATTAAACAATTTTTGAATTACCCTTGAGTTCATGTGATAGACCCCTTCAGATACAATACATGCCTCTCTTACATCTAAAGCTTCTCTTGATCTTGGACTGCTTTCTAATTCATTAAAAATCTTAATTCTTGCCTAATGCACTAGCCTTTTTATATACCCCTCAGTTCTTGCTGCTCGTTTAGCATGCATAATGCATAAAATAACCCTCCATCAATAGGAGCACGACACACACACTCCCTGAGCAACTGGCTTTATCTGTATTACATTCTGTGTACTTCACTTTCTGGATTACCATGCTATTGGTTGGACGTGTTTCTCATATGGAAATTTGCTTTGTTTCCGCATTTATTTTTTATTGATTTATTTTTGGTTAATTTGATTACAGTTTAGAGTTTATTGGTATCTTTCTCACATTGTTTTTGTGAATTATGAACTCAGAATTTACTGTGTCTACTATGTCAGCTCCTGCTTTGTTTGGAGACACGTTTAACCCTATTACTCAAGCCATTGGATTGGTGCTATCAGCCATGTAGGTGCTGGATCTGGCAAGAGTTAGCTTCCTACATGGGGCCTGGATCGTGAGGCAGTGTGAGCTGATGACAAGGGGTGTGAGGAGCTGGAATTTGACCAAGGTTTTTCCTGGTCCTTCATTTGCTATCTTTTTAGGCAACAATAGAGGACGTTTAACCTTCAGTTCCTTTTCTACAGTTGATTACTCAGGTTTGCTGTATTTTGCAATTTTCTCCTGTGTCTTGTGATTCATTCCCTTCCCTATTAAGTGAGCTCCCTTTTTCGGATTACTTGGTTTTTTTGCCCTTCCCCAGATATATAGTTTCATATTCGAAGATTTTTTGTCACAAATTCTTTTGCATTCTGGTATGCCTCACCCCCCTCGTGTTTCTAAGCAACATGCTTTGGCCTTTCATCATTCTCCTAGTTCTTTTTTGGATTCTCATTGTTTGAGCTCCCCTTTACCTCTTAGGGAGTTATAATCCTGAGGCTTCTGTCTCTTTGTCTCAGGCCCTATTTGAGGATGTGTCTCACTCTTACTCATGTTTTTCATTACCTTTCTTCTCTGCACCTGTTATCAGAGGCTTTTTGCCATTCCTTCAATGATTTTTCGGGGGAACTCAGCTCTCTTTTGTGGTTGACTTTGTCTAGACTTTCCTTGTCTGCTCTTTTACTCCTTACATGGCTTATTTGTAGTTGAGGAGAGTCACGCTACTTAAGAGTTCGCCTCTTTGCCTTCGGGACTTATGGGTGGCTCCTTTTTTGAGTGATACTGTTTTTGGAAGCTGCCCTGATTCTTTGGAGTTCTGGGTTGATGTGGCCAGGTTACATAATTCTTTTTTTTCCTGGGTGAATATTTATTACAGCTTTCCACCTTCTCTTCTCATGATCCTATAGTTGTATCACGTCCTTCTGAGTCTGCACCTCGTTCTCTACACATGTCTTCATTCTTGCCCTTATTTTTGTGTCAACTGCATATGTTGGGAGCCCCAGCAGCAGTATTGGTGACTACTCTGTTCGTTCAGGTCCTTTAGGGGCAGGCTCCTCTCCTTTGTGGAGGTTTGGAGAACTTCTACAGACCAGTAGGTTCTCCAGGTTTTAGCTTGAAGTCTTTCTCCTTCCCCTTTCTTCTTCCCCTGTTCTGTTCCCTTCTCCCAACGATCTGGTTTCTTCCATTTGTCTAAAAAAACATGCCAGGGAGAGAGAATCTGCCTTCTCCCCTATATCTCCATCTCTTTCATCTCACATCTTTATTCCCAATCAAATCCCGATTGCCTTCTATGTCCTGTATGAGCTTTGCATTGCTATATTGTTCATGCTTCACCTTTTTGTGTTTCCCATTCATATTTTTTTATTTGTAATCTTTCTCCCATCACTCTTACAGGTTGAGTTTGTCAGCTTATTCTTTCCTTTCCTGCAAAGGGCGTCATCTTTATCATGTCTCCTCTTTTCAAATTCACCACATCACTACGTCAGCCTCTTGTTTTTGTCACCCTCTGTATGAGATTGTCAAGGCCGTTATGTGGACTACTCCTTGTACTATTGTATCACATTACTTACACCATTTGGCTGTATCCTTCATTGGCAGATACTGTCTCTCCAGTGGCAATTTTACGTGCTTCAGTTAAGTTTTGACAACAATGAGTGTATTCTCTTTTTTTTTTGCAGGGAGCCTCCCATTCTGTTAGTTCCTTATTCTGATCCAACTCTGTGGTGAGTGTTGCCTGGTCAGGTATGCTAAGATATTCCTATATCTAGACTAAAACCCGCACCTGCTACATTTATGATGTAACACACACTGTTGAGATGGGGTGTTTTGCAAGATCACCAACGGCTTACTTAGTGATGTATAGTACATTATATCTATCTAATTCATTACATGGTGGACCATCACTCATGGACTATCATGAGTAAAGGAGAATTGATTGAATATATTGGGAACAGCCTGCTTTTGAAAATAGTGTTTTGCAGTCACCCATTGTACATTCTCCGGTGTGTTGTTCCTCCAGACTCTCCACTGCATTTTTAACCTCCCTTCTTCAAGTCGTGTATGAGAGTCCTTATAATTTTCCAGTTCCTAGGTGCTGGAGTGGTGGACCATGGAGGATTTTACTCGTGAGTGTGATATCCATAGACTACAATTTCTTTCTCCACTCTCTTAAGAAGAAGGTAAAGCTGAGAACCTTCTCTCCTTCTCCCTTCCTTCTCACTTTATCTCTTTTTATGGTATGCCTAACCCTGAAAGTGAGGTACACAGAATGTAATACAGAGGGAGCCGGCTCCTCAGGGAGTATGTGTCATGCTACTATTGGTGGAGTGTTGTTGCATGGGCTATGCATGCTAAATGAGCAGCAGGAACTGAGGGGTATAAAAATGCTAGTGCGTTAGATGAGAATTAAGATTTTTAATGTGTTAGAGAGCAGTGGAGGTAACTATCTATGGGAAGTCTATTTTCAGTATAGGAAAATGATAACTTTTAAAGGTTACCATTTGTGCATTTTAGAAAAATATTTTTTTATCAAAAAAACTTCCCACAAGTTTTATGGACATTTTCTATGGATAAACCACAAATGTTGACTAAATACTGCCATGTGATCACTGTTTTTTGTTTTTCAAATATTCAGTAATCCCACACTGATATTTAGTAAATCAAATAAATTGATAATTAATTATGAAAACATGTTTTATTTTTCATGATAAGGGGTGATAATGCTTTTATTTAAAACATGTCATGCTTACAATTACAAATAGTTAAGTAGCCAGTTAGACGACTTATTTATGGATGTTGTTTGAATAGAATAAACATAAATGATACTTAATAAAGATTTGAGCCATCATAATATTTTGCAATGCAACAATATTCACTAAATAATAAACTCATCTGATTTCTGATAAAAAAAAATCCCTCATGTTTACAAGTAACACAACACAATAAAACCATATTATATGATTAAAAAATAAAAGCACCATATTTAAACAAATAACCAAAGATTAACAAAATACCTTTATTAAGCTTTAAGCAATTTCCAGGCATGTGACTTCTTTACTTTGTACTGTATATATATATATATACTCCTGTGTATGGATAAACTACTTAAATCTGATGAAAACAAAACCTTCTCCAAACACTACATCTGTTATTGTATTATTCTTTTAATCAAGTTTTCTTTGTTACTCATTCAACCCATCTCTAAACTATATAAGCTTACATACCTTATCTCAAGTTATCTGATGTCTTCTCGTTGAAGATAATTTCTGTAGCTTTCAAACGGATATAATTTAACATACAAATACTTTCACATTTCACAAAGAAACACCTCTTAAACCTATGTATCTATTTAATTGATACTAGAAACTGTTGGTACTTGATGAAATTCCATAATTACAGAATTGTGGAAATAAACAAAGACCATAGTCATTAATATACGAGTTATTTGTGAAATGTACTGTTGTCTTTGTTTTTTCCTCAATCCTATATATTTACTTTATTAATACTTGATAGTCTACTACTTGCTCTATCCAATTATATTTAAATTTTCTTTATAACTGCTTTCAAAGCTCTGTCTTATTATTAAGTGATCAAACCACTTGATGTGACACCATATCAAAGTTTCAATCAAGACCTGAATAAAAACTGTGGGAAATGCTTCAAAATAAAGAAATGGATAATATATTCTCATGGGGTGATAAGTTCTTAATAAAAATTAGTTTGAGATTGGCAAGAAAATTCTAGAAAAATCAATTAGTAGGTTATTTTGTTTACAGGCAAAACACTTTGCAGGTGTACAGAGGTGAAAATATTAACTTTTTCTTCAATTACAATAAATGTGTGTCAGTATATTAAAAAGTATTGATTTTAAAATATTTTTTAGTTAAAATTGATTAAATACTTACAATCTAATATATAGAAAAGCCAGTGTCTATCTTTTCATAATAATGCTTTCCAACAATGGCTTTTATGTTATGTTGCTTAGCAACGAAAGTATGAGTTTATAACTATTATAGTATATATACAGTGGTTTTTATGTATTATGAGATGTTATAGAAATGGTATTTTTTAACTGTTATGGGTTGTTATGGCTCTTATGTTATGTTGCTTACAAATAAAAGTATGACCTGATATTGTTAGTTTATGTAGTGAAAGTGGACTTTAGTAAAACATTTAGTGATCAAAGTTTGCTCTGAAACATTGTAACCAATGTCCACCCTCAAACATTTAGTAACTAGTGTCCACTCTCAAATGTTTTAATGACCAATGTCCACTATGAAGTTTTTACTAACAAAAGTCAACTGTGAAACATTTAGTAGCCAATGTCCAATCTGAAACATTTAGTGACCATTGTCCACTCTTAAGCATTTAATGATCAATGCCACCCTTAAACATTTAGTAAACAAAGCTCACTCCAAAACATTTAACAACCAATGCTCACTCTAAAAATGTTTCTTTTTGTGAAGGAATTTCAGGAAAACAACAGGATTTCCACTTTCAACTAATTGAAATAGATCTTTTTATTTCCTCAAAGTGTATTTTTTTTCGTATATGAGGAAGGGGAAGTTGGTGAACAATACTTGCTGAAGGAAGGGCAGGGCACCTAGTTTTATTTTACGAAACTCTATCCTGTCATTCTTGATAGGAATGTCAACTAGTATATGTTATAAGACCTGTAGGAGCCCTAAGAAATACTGACTTTAATGAAAACAAATCTCTAAAGTCTAGAGCATACACACATTGTTAAGTATTTAAAAAAAGCAAAGATGATAACATTTGGAAGGGCAACATTTAGTTGATGTTCATAATGTTGCATTAATTTAGAAAAAAACAGTTATTGGCTGAGGCCATAACAAGATTGTTGTAGACTCCAGTAATGTTACCTTCTGAAAGACTGAAAAGCTTTTACAATAATTAATAAATCAATTAAATAAAACACTGACATCTAATATTTTTATTTGATTCTACTTGCTGTTTTTTTATTAATTGTAGAAAAAAAATAGAAGGGTTCGACCTCCAAAGATCTGTGCCTACTTATACAACATTAAATAATACATTTATTAACTTCTAAAAACAATAGGTGGAAGAAAGGGGGTAGGAGTTTCCACTCCCTTGGCCCCCTTTCATAAGTCTGCACCTGTGTTTATACAGCATTAAATAATGTAGTTATCAATACAGAAATACAACGTGTGGGATCTCGACCCTGCCACTAGATTCACATCTGTTTATACAGTATTAAAGGATACAGTTATAAATTAGAAACATAACACTGTGTAAAAAAGAACAGTAAAGTTACACTGTATTTAATACTTCTGTAGCTAGAGAGTTGATGGTGGGTGCTACCAGCTAGTTGTTTCTCTCTAATCAGCATTTCAAAATTAGTGACAGTGGCAAGTAGTTGTTGTAACTTTGCAATAACAAAGACACAACAAGGAAATATAGTGGCAGTGGGAAACAACCCCCAAATCCCCAACTCACGAATCATCCTCCCCACACATGCCCATTATGTGTGTTTGTAGTTAAGTTAGTAAATTGATGTCTCGATTATTGAAACAGTCATCGTGTATGAAGCTGTTTAGTATCTGAGTAGTAGAAGGGTAAAATGCTAGCTTGTGTGTAATAAATGTAGATAAACATCGTTTACGGTGCCTTTAGAAGCAGTACTTGAAATAATATCAAGAGTTTCTGAAAACAGTTGGAAGTCTGAATATTAACGAAAGTTTCTCATCTTAAATTTTGTGATAAATATTTCTGCTAAATTCGAAGTTTGTAAGTTGAGTTAGTTCATCTTTCTTTGTAGAATCTAGCAAAAGGCCTTACCTTGTAAATTATTGTTCCTACTTCAGTGAAATTTTGTAAACAGTGTTTAAACTATGTTATAGATATTTTTTGACAATCATTTAATTCTTACTGAGACATTTAATACTAGTGTGCTATTATTGGCAATAAGTTAGCTTGTTGCATATTAGGATAACTTGGTGAAAAAATGAAACAAAATTTAATTGCTGAGTATGTGAAAAAATAAATTTTCTGTACAGAAAACATAATAGTGCATATAACTTATTTTTAAAGACTTATAATTCACAGGAAAGGATGGGTGGATCTCTAGGGTTATTCTAAAATATAAAAAAAAATTATAACGTTTCACTTTTGAAACAAGTTTTTTTGGTCATTTGTAAGTTGTGTAATAGTATTAATACAAACTGTGCAGTGTTGAATATTTGTTGATTGTTAAAAATATGGACTAGTATATCTGCTAAAATTGCTGTTTTCAAAATATTGGATTAAAATATGTCATCGTAGAAAAATATTTTATATTATCATTGTTATAATTATTTATACTTCTGGTTTTAGTTACTGTTTTACTTACACATGTCTTGTAATAAATTAGTGTGATAATAATTTTATTAAATAAGCTTTATGCTAAAGTTTGCTTTAATTCATTTATAAATATATTTCTTTTAAAAATTATTTAAAATATTTTATGTATGTTTCTCTTTATATGTATAAATTTAAGACTCATTTTCTTTGTTTTTCTTATCATACTCAGCTACAAAGACTCTAGCCATGAGGATTTTGTTCGTGGATTATCCTGGGAACCTAAGAACAACAGGCTCTACTCTTGTGGCTGGGACAAGTTAGTCAAAAGTCATCTTGTTAGTAACAGCAGAATGGAATTGAATGGACAAAATCCTTGATACGTTGTTCAGTATGTTTTATTTCTGCTATTTATGACACATAAACATTCAGGTTTTGATTTAAAAAAAGTAAAACCTTGTAGCTGAGCTGGAATAAATTTGTTTTTATTTTTATGTTGTTTTGATGTGGGGTTACTTTGCTTAAATTATGGTTACATAAATTATGTTTTGTTTGTATATCTTTACTGCAAAAAAATTGTGCTCTGCACTTTGGGGCCGTGGGTGTGTTAGAAGAGTGACCGTCAAATCCAATTGTTGGATTACAATAGCCCAAGTTCTAGTTGTGAATGATGACTAATCAATCAGTACAAGATGAGGGAGAGTATCTTGGATATCTTTTATGCAGCTTTATGTTAATATCTGAAACCAAACCAAAAGTTTATATATGTTGATACATGGTTATGATAAAATAAATACAGAGTCAGATAAAACTACTGTACCACTGTAGGAATTTAATTTGTCCTATAGAAGTCTTACCACAATGTAGCTATAAAACTACTGTCATTACAGTTTCATTAAATTATATTTTATGGACTTAAAAGTATATCTTTCTTTCAATTTCCTTTTTTTTTTGTACATCATACACACACATCAACCTTGCATGCTGTACTTTTTTCAACATGATTCTTATTTTATGTGAAATTGGAAATGCATTTTTTCACAGTTATCTAACATTATATAACAAAGTACTTGTATTTTTAATTTATCATGCATTACTCAATTTGGTGAAGGATGAGAATACGCATCAAGAATTAATTTTATCTAATGATAAAGAAGAAAGTTGTACAGCAGGTTTCCTTCAAAACATTCGGGTTGAAGCTTGATTGACCTAGCAGTTTTTTCATGATTAATAATAAGTAAAAAAAAGAGAGAGAATTAAGTAAATACTGTGAGTGTTCTAATTTTCTCTCATTCTTTAAATTAAAATGATAGACTGAAAAAAGCATTGTATGATATAGTATTGTATTATAGTTCACAAGAAAATAACTTGTATACAGTATAAAATTAATGAATAACAAAATATTTAATGTGTAGTATTTTCAGATTTCCCTCAGATTATTATGCGTAAGAAGCATGTATAATAGGACATTTGACAGCAACATTATCATGAAGCATTGCCTGAATTTCTCAGACTTTGACAGGGTCCAATTTAGAAGAGAGATTGAGCACAAATTTTCAAACAATAACAATCTTTTTTTTCACAATTAATATTCAAGTTGACACTTTAACAAGTGGTTCTGTGAAGCATTCTGAACCGAAAGAGATGGAGAGCTATTCTTGCTCTCTGTATGGTTTACAGATGTTGAAGTTAGAGCATAAGTTTAAGATGGTCGAGCTAAATAATCTGTAATAATCGTGTACTGTTTCGGGCTCTATTCTCTTGTGTTATCTAGCAAAATATGTAGTGTTCTAACTATTACTGAGAGAACCTAGCCTTATATCCATAAATAAAGGCCAGGCTGCTTAGTAATTGCATGTAACATAAGTGACTAATAGGTCACTTTTGGTTTAGTGCAAGAGCAAGTTGAGCCTTTGCAGGTTTCGCCTAACCAACCAACAATAAAGAGTGCTGTCTCTTTTTGCAAAAAATGTGAAATTAGTTATCTTTCGTGCTCAAGAGTTTGTGTCAAACCCTAATAAAGTGACCAAGTTGCATCTGTAACCAGAGTGAGAAGAACTTAAATTTGATGATGAGGAACTCACTTTTTTAGAAAATAAAAGTTTGGAGATGGTTTGAATGGGTAATGAAGAAAGCCTTGTCATAAATGTACAACATTTCGACAATATGATATCATTATCCATCCCAGCTCTCTCCAAGCTCTTATTTTGAGAAAAACTCAGTTATTCAGTTTTTTGAATTTTGCTCAAAGCTACACGAGGGATATCTGCACTAGCCATCCCTAATTTAGCAGTGTAAGACTAGAGGGAAGGCAGCTAGTCATCACCACCCACCATCAACTCTCGGGCTACTCTTTTACCAACGAATAGTGGGATTGACCATAACATTATAATGCCCTTACGGCTGAAAAGGGTGAGCATGTTTGGTGTGATGGGGATTTGAACCCACGACCTGCAGATTGCAAGTCGAGCGCTCTAACCATCTGACCATCCCAGGCCCTATAGTTCCTATAGCGGGAGCTAAATCTACTTCATACTTACACAAGTATTGAAAAATTCAGATGGAAGAAAATGCATGATATGCCTGCATATCACACATGGTTGTTGTACTGGAAGTAATTTGATTGGCTTAGCAATGCTTGATGAATAGATAATAAATTTTTTTAATACATGACTCAAATATTTTTTGTGTAACTGTACAGCTCCAGCTTGAATTACATTCTTGGTTTTATATAACTTCCCAAGTTTACAAAAGAACACAGAAGTGCATAAGCTTTCTGAAAAAAATCCTAGTATTTTGTTTTTGTCATAAATAGTTTTGTCTTAAAGTGTTTGTTAATTGGTTGATATTTTCCATTCCCTATAATGTTTTTGTAAAATATTTTATGTATACTTTTCTTGACTAAGTCAAACTCTGAAGACTCAATTACAGTGTGAATAGTTATTAAAAGGGTTTAGTTATTTTAAATATTATTGCTTCTTTCTGGATGTTTAATTGTTATGATTTAACATTTTTTAGATAGATTATTCATATTTAACGTTGGAGCTTTATTTAGGGCTTAAAACTGTAAAACACTGTTTATGTTGAGTGTTATTAACAGTGTAGAAGACAGGTTGCTTTTTACTTGGATCTCATCACAATTAACTAGAATTACCAATCGCTATGTAATAGGTAGGGTAAAGAATTTCGGATCTGATAAGCCAATTTCGAATCTATAAGATAACATAAACTATTCCTCGCAGTTTATGCTGTGGGTGTCTTGTAGAAGTGACAGCCAGTACCTTAGTGTGGATGGTAGGATGCCGCGTACTGGCTTCGTTCAGCAGTTCAAAATTAGGGATGGCAGCAGATAATCTTAGTAGCTTTGCCATGAGTACAATATAACAGATGTTATCGTAGGCTAATAAAGCAGATGACAAATATGTATATTAACAGATTTTCTGAACAACAGTATTATAAAAGGCTAAATTCAATGTACATGTTTTATCTATATGTGTTAGAAGCAACCGTAATCTGGTAACCAGTTAAGTTAAACTTTGCATTTTATGGTACTGTACGGAAATCAGTTTTATTAGATCATCCTAAACTAGCATGAAGTATCCTGTGTAATCATATTATTTATTTTACTTTGTTTGAGATGCTGAAAACGTGTTTAGTGTTATATTAAAAATATTATAGTACAAACATATTTTGTATTTCAAATAAACTGTCAAACTTTTGTTTCTGCATTAAACATTAATCATTTAGTCAGCTTTGATGGTCAATGGCCTTAGGTGAAAAACATCAAGTGTCTTTGGATTTGGTAACTCATGTTGAAATTACCAATTTTCAACAATAGTAATGGTTAAACATCGCTATTTGCGTAGATCCTTTAAAACTAAATGTTAGAAAAGGGAACCAACTTACAAAGCTAAATATGAAATTTAAATTATTGTATGTTATTTAGAGATTTAAATAAGCGTTGTTTTCAGGGCGAATACATATAAAAGTATGTTATACAATATATTTATTACAGAAATGAAAAACAAATGAATTAGCATTAAGTTTTGCGTATGAAACGTCCGAAAATGCAAAAAGTGTGTCATGCAAATTAAATATCGAAGCAAAAACCATAATCATATACTACAGTATATTAAATGTGTACTAAATCGATATTCAAAAGAAAACGATAAACAATTAGCTTTGGAATAATAACGTAACTGTCTCGTTCAAGTAATGGTTTTATTTATAGAAGCGAAAAATTAAGTGTGATAAAAACTTTTCAGGACTCATAATTGTATGATATATCGAGTAGAGAAGCGAAAACTACAGGACAGATGAATTAGCAAAGTGTTTTATACATAAAACGACGAATAATTGTAAAGTACGTAAGATAGATAGATTACGATATTATGTGTGATATAAACTTTTTACATGACATACGTAATACAAATTATTAGTTATGCTGTAATAGTTGTTTCATTAAATAGTAGTTTTACTTGTAACTTTTAGGACATATAATTAAATATAGAAGTGGAAACTATAATATTGATGACATAATCACATGTTGAAACACTCTACGAGGAGCTTATCATCCTGTTGAAGTATCCGCCCAGAGCATTAACGTTAATAACATCATCCGCCTATAGAAACATTATCCTTAGTAACACCGTCCGCCTATAATACTGCCTTTAGTAACACCGTCCGTCTATAGAACTTTGGTAATAGCATACGCCTACATCTTCTCCTCCCCAAGACAGTCCCACCCTTTGGTTCCACTTGGTGGCAGTATGACGTCATTGTCTCTGTCACCCCTCTGGTGTTACTTCGTAGCACAATGAATTTGTCGTGTGGCCCCACTCCTATCGCCAATCAGTGGCTTGTCGCTAATTGTAGGGATTATTAGTTAGGATTATTTCAGATGTTTCTACTATTCCCTAATGAGAAATAGAAGAAACAAAATGAAACCATGTGTTGTTCTTTGCCCTTCTGTCTTACATGCAAATAACTGAACCATGAAAAACCTGAATAGCATCTAGTACAATACATGGGCTAAAAAGTTGGGTGTCCCCATAGTTTACACAACGCTGATACCCCTTACACAGCTACTTCTAACTGGATAGTGGTATAGACTTTCACCGTTATATTATTTCTCCAAAACTGAAAGTATTTAGCGCGATCAGCTCACAGGTTACCCCTCAGGTCATACTCGGATCTGTTTCGAATACAAGAGTGATACTGGGAAAATAATGACTTACAACGCTTTCATCATGTTTCCGTTATACACAGCGAAAACTAGAAAATTTATAAACTATACACACATAACACAAGTGTAACTGGGAAACTGAAAATAAAGAAACAAAAAAAGTACATGCAGCATTGAAAGATACATCTAATTATGATGAAAATGTGGACAAATTTTGCGTTCATAACGTTGAGCATTAAATATCCCAAACATTATAATAACTAACACGTTGAATTTAGTCTCTTGTTGGTGCTCCTCTTATGAATCACTTATGATTTGCAAGCCTTGATCGATTTATATAAAGCTTAAATACGTAGTGATGTTGTTCGTTCAATTTTCCTCATAGTTATTCTAAACTTAAAGTTTTTCATATATTCACAAGAAATGACCAAAGTTTCTATTTCCTTCTCTCTGATGGCCAATGAAATTGAAGTATTACCAGTTTGTAAAGTGACAACAATAACTGTTTTGGTGTGAACTTGAAGAATTGTAATTTTCATAATTTTTACTTCAATTATTACAAATCAGAAGTAGGTTTATACATTATATACTTTAACATCGGCGCATTCGTCTCAAATTATATAATTCCAAAACAAAAGTACAAATTTAGAAGTTTAAGGTCGAGGTGAAAAAATGGTAAAGCGTGTACAAACACTGAGAATGCCTTGTAAATGTTGTATCCTACTGATTTGAATGCCTTTTAAATGTTGTATCCTACTGACTTTAATCCATGTTTATGATGAAAATATAAAAAAAAAACAAATCAAATGTGAAATACAAGACTGCATTTAGTTGAATGATGAGAGAATCATGCTTCCAATTTAAACGGATATAACTTCAAAATTAAGTCTTTGTGCAAACATGAGTGTTATGTATAACAATTTATCCCGGACGAGCCCCAATTTATTATGTTACGTATTACAATGTATCCTGGACGAGCCTCCAATTTGTTACATAACGTATTACAATTTCGAATAGCCCGAAACTGAGTTAAATGATAATTTAGATTTAGAAATTAAATAAATGTCGATATGTATCCAATTTATGATACTCGCCAACAAGATTGATAGTTTTTTTTATACAAACATATTTTAATATACAAACAATAACACAATTTACAATAACAGTTATTACAAATAATGATCTATGTAGGAAATTTTTACAAAGTTACAAACAATATTTACTCCTCTATCTGGTCTGTAACCTTCTTGATATCTTATTCAGGGTTCACGATGAGTGAATTAATTTTGAGGAGATGTAGATACAATTCACTTAACAGGAAGCTAGCTTAGCTTTGTTCATCGTTATTGACCAGCCACACACACACCGATTTATCCACCGCTGAAGTTATATAATGTTTTCGTAAAAATACTAATGTCCGATGGGAATCTGCTGAAGTTAAATGGTTTGTAATTTTCGAAATCTATAAACGTTTCTGGTCAAATATCTAAAGTTCCCAATTAATAAGCGTTATAACAATCACAGTTATAGCTTTTGAGATTTATAGCACACTAACTATAGCAAACCAATAATATATACTGTCTTTTGGTGCGTTGCGTTGGTTATATTTATAGGCATGAGAGGAATTTCTCAAAATTTCATCTTACGCAACAATATAAACGACACACCAGTGTTTACGTACAGACATATATTGTTGATTCTTACACTCGAGAATTTTAGTGAATAGGCGAGAATTTCGCAATACAGATTTAACAGTATAAGTTATGTACATTTCTACATATAAATTTAACTTAAACAAACATCGATAGTAAAATATATACATATGATAGTAAATCCGCCACATGAGAAACGAGAGTTATTTTCTTTTTTCTGCAATACACAAGTTTTGTTTTTCTGATTCTTATTTGTTCAGATATAACCAAATAATAGCACTTAATTCTTGAAAACTATTCAAATACAAAATTTCTTAATAGAGACTAAAGTATTTGGCAAATGCATAAGAATAAAGCAAAACGTTTTTAACTTTAATTTAAACGAATGTTTATTTAGGGTAAAGCTATACAGCTTTAGAGGTTAATGGGTTTAATTTACACTTTGTTAGTATAAATAGTATTATAAAACTACAGAACCATCGTTCTATTTTCACGATGCAAAACTAATATTCTAGTTTTATAAATCAAAACTACACGAGACCATTCTCGGCTTACGCATATCTAGAGTTGTTACTTGACAACGCCGATTCATGATGTAATAACTCGTTAAGCTAATTTTAGAAGTATTGTATATTCTGGTATATATTGCCTCTCCACGTATCAATCAACTATGGGCACACGGACTGTTAAACTACTACATCGTAATTGAACTTATGGACCATTTCTTCCACACTGCTAGAGCTGATACTCTGTTTTCAGGTTCGAATTAGTTAAATAACTGAGCTTTTCAATTGTTCTTATTAACTTTTTGTCAACTGTTTTGCTAAAGCTTTAGTCACCTACTTATCCAATTTAAATATTTGAATTAATATACAACTGTTCACAAACAAAATTACCAACTTGTTTTTATACAGTTGTTACGTATTAGAATTTTAAATGGTCTGAAATTGAGTTAACTGATAATTTAAATTTAGTAGTTAAATTGTACTTTGGATTTAATATTTAAATAAATGCCGATATATAATCAGTTTATGATATTTGCCAACAAGATTGACACGCAGTTTTCTTTTTTTTTAACACAGATGCGTTTTAATATACACACAACAGTACAATTTATAATAACAATTATTACAAATAGTTATTACAAACAATGATTTATAAACAAAAGTTTTACAAACTTACAAACAATATAAAGTATTCTTTCTAGTCTGAAACTTTTTCGATATCTTAACGAGGGTTCACGATGAGCGAATTAATTATCAGGTACGATTCGTTTACTAAAAAAAGGGAGCTAGCTAGCCCTGTACTTCTCGCTGATCATACGCCTATTAGAGATTGAGTTTCCACCGATGATGTTAGGTTATTTAAGGTTAGTTACCGGCCACATACGCTGAGCTCTCCACGATGAATTTATATAAGGTTTTCGTAAAAATACTAATGTCTGGTGCGAGTCCACTGAAGTTAAACGATTTGTAACGTTCGAAATTTATAAATATTCCTGGGGAAATATTTTAAGTTTTTCAATTGATAAGTGTTATAAAAGTCAGTTATAGCCTTCGAAGTTTATAGCACACTGATTACAGCGAACTACTTGTTACGTCTCTGGTCGTTAGTTAATTTCCCGTATAATTTCTTTCCGATGAAACTTTAGCGACACAAGAGTTTTCTTAAATAAAACTGGTTTATTCTTTCTGAATACAACTTTGCAATACGCTTAATTTCCACAGTCACGCTATAACAAACGCTATAATTCACAACGAACGACTCACGTGCCCGACTCAATCGTCAGTCTCTCTCTGTCTGCAGTTCAATTACATTGTTGCCGTCACATCTTGGCGGTCTTATATACAAGACTACCGCACATCTAGTAAACACTCGAGGCTTCAGGAAGGGACATGAATTTTCTAGAAGTTCATGACGTGTTACTAGCGTCACGTGACTTCCGCTGTCCTAACATACTAATAGACACTCTTTTGGCGCGTTGCGTTGGTGATATTTATAGGCGTGGGAACGTTTTCTAGAAAATTCAGATTATGTAACAATACTAGTTAAAGCGATTACGTATAAACATATACGTAATACGGAAAACACGCGAGTTTGTATAGTAGTATTGTTATGAAGAAACTTTTACGTTGTGATGACTATCATCTGTTATTTTTACATTTCAAGTTTTCTTTCATTTTCTCATTAACTATGGATCCAAGACAAAAGCCATATTAGCTGGTAAAGCTTTTCTGATGCCTTTTGTTAACAATTCTGAATGAGACATGTTTAGCGTTTATGTTTTCTTTGTTAATTAAATGGTTCAGAAATCAACAAAACTGTAAATACAACATCACATTTGAGTTATCATTATTTCACATCAGTTTTCTTAAACATATAGAACAAACATCTACATTGTGGTCATACAAGTTACTCCCGCTTTCCAAGAATTTAGTTATATATTTCAACTAGAAAAATTACAAACATATATTGACATAGTTAAATCACTTACAACAAAATAGTTTTATGTGCTCAAAAGTGGTTTAACTGAATACCAAACCTCTTGTTTTATTTTTAAATAACCAATGATAAGACAACAGAAAAGGGCGAAAAATCGTTAATCCAGTTTCCGGAAAAAAAATTTATTAGAGTTCTATGCAGAAAAACAACAACATTATACAAAGAGAGTGTACGAAATCCAGTTAGATAACGTAAATATTTCATGAGACGAATTTACAGCTGAAACTTACGCACACAGGCACAAACAAACACACTGCCCTTCTAACCAGTTTTTGTATAATATGGCAGGTACTAATAATAAAAGTTGAGATATTAGATAATTTTCTCAGAGTATATATATAAAGAGAAAATGTTGAAATCTTACAGTAATCTGCAGGTCCACTGAAAATAAAAGCTGGAACGGGATGAAGAAAATAGTGAGTATATAACTAGCTTACCTAATGATCATTACTACAAACTAGCGATTTTACAATTTACTGTACTGATGATTTATAAGTACACCAAAACTTTATTATCAAGACTATGAAAAATTAAGAACTTTCGGGAAACCCAAGTGCACGAATTCAGAGTTGCACAGCACTAACTTTAAGTAGTGTATTTTATTATCTAAAATTTCTCAAAATTTCCAAGTTAAAAGAATTAAAGCTATGGATAATTATTTCTCTTTTTTCAGTCTGCTTTGGTGGGCAGAGTTGTATTTCTGTAAAAATCTAGCTAAGAATAACATTAGGATTATTAAAGATAAAACAAAAATCAATCTAAGATGTTCTTTTAAGGTAAGAAAATGTAGCATTTGATTAACTGATCATATTCTGGCATCTAATCTCACCATGCTATATACCCGAAAGATTTTAATGCGTTTTTATTGAATAATGTTTTCATGGTAATATTGACTTTTTTGATAATTGTTGACGTATTTTCTATTCTACGGTTTGATATTTCTTTCCAGGTTGAGTTCGTTATGTCAATACTGCTGTTGACAGCAGTGATACAAGCTGAAAAAGAGGGTAAGGTAGATACAGAGTTAAAAGCCTCTGCTAGTAGTTATAGCGGCGGTGGAATACATGGAAACATTGACAAGTTCATACCTTATGGAAGATTGACCTTAATTGTTAAGGTATTTAACCCTTTAGTTTGTTTTCTTTTCTTCTCTAAAACAAAATAAAATAATCGATCAGAATGATAACTCACGTATCAACACAAGCTGTTTACAATTTACTTATGAACGGAACTTCACTGCGATCTGGTTATTACACATTTAAGACTAAGCTATACATTATTGTTGTCAGAACAACGAACTATCGTATCATGCTTTACATGATTATGTGTAGATTCAATTGCAGGAATTTTATTTATATGTGTAACGAATTTTTTATGTATTTATTTGAATATGAACGTTGTTTAGATTAAGTTTATATTTAGAAACATACATAGCTTATACTGTTAGATAGGTATTGCGAAACTCCCACCCATTCTCCAAAGTTGTAGAAGATTCCCGAGAGTAAAAATCAATAATATATGTGTATATACCTAAACGTTTAAAATGTAACTTGCATTGTTACGTAAGACTAAAATTTCTATAACGCCTCCATACATGTATAAGAGTGTGTCTATTATTAGTTCACTATATAGTGTGTTATAAAACTTCGAAAGCTATAACTGATTGTTATAACGCTTATCAATCGGAAAACTTAAGATATCTGACCAGGAATATTTAAAAATTTCGAACGTTACAAATCATTTAACTTCAGTGGATTCTCATCGGACATTAGTATTTTTACGAAAACATTATCAAACGTCACCCGTGAAAACCTAGTGTGCGTGGCCAAAGAGACATACCTAGCTAGCTTCCTGGCGAATCGTCTTTACATCAACTCGCTCATCGTGAACCCTTGATAAGATATCAAGGAATTACCAGAATAGAAAGAAAACTTTATATTGTTTGTAAGTTTGTGAAACTTCTGTTTATAAATCATTGTTTGTAGTAACTATTTATAATAGTTGTTATTGTAAATTGTACTGTTGTGCGTATATTAAGACGTACTTGTGTTAAAAACGAAAACGGTGTGTATTAATCTTGTTGGCAAATATCATAAACTGACTATATATTTGCATTTATAGAAATACTAAATCCAAAGTACAGTTTAACTAATAAATTTAAATTATCAGTTAACTATCGGACTATTCGAAATTCTAATACCTAACAATACGAAACATCCGTTTTTAAATAACACAGGAAATCAATCTGAACAAAAAATTGCCGCGGCACTTTGTCTTGACGAGAACATTTTTACTATCTAAGAACTCATGTTACCAGGAATATAACAGAAAATATCCATATTATTTTCTAGAAGTTCAAAATCACAAATTTGAATATCATTTTCTTGTTTGTAATTCAGCTATTGACCCAGGAATGTTTTATTAATTGATACCAGCATGTTATAATAACAATTCTATATTGTTAAACTGTAAACTAGTTTCTATCTTACAGAAGTCTTTAAACTAGCATGTTACGAATATTTGGTAAAATAATTTACATATTATTATGTGTTTTTGTTTTAACTAAGCATGACAACATAGCAAAATATTCGTATTTTTCGATAAAATTTGGAATATGGGACTCATTAATTCAAATAATGATTTTATTTCAACAGGCTATACCACAATTATCAACTGGAAGGGTGGCAGGAATACCTCCTTTGATAATATATGCTGAACCAGTCTCTTTTGAACCTATTGGAGGTGGACCGAGTGAAGGATTATTTGCTAGTTTATTCCGTGGCAAAAGGAAATGATCTATCCATAATGTGTGGAAATGACACAACACTTAATTATTTTCAAAAACGTGTTTAAATACTAACAACAAAAACAATTTACGCAGAGATCTATTCTGACCTAGTTATCTGTTATTTCCATAATTGTTATTTTTCTAGAATTAAGAAACTAATTTACATAAAAATATTACAAAATTAATTTGTCCAGTTTCTTCGATTTTGCTTATTCTTTGGTTAACGTGTCTTGTACACTTACCTTTCTAGTATAAGAAGTTTAACGTTGTCATTTTACATATTGTTGCGTCATCGAGTCACATGACTACTGTGACGCAACGTTTCTAGAACTATCATGTACTTTGGCGAATGTT